ACTTGGAGACCCAGTTCAGAGAGGGTGGAGGCTAGCCCACAGCATCTCACCTATGCCAGCTGAAGTATTCCGCACCACTGGATAATCCTAATCCTAATCCTTTTCCTCCACTTCCTCAGTGCCAAGATGACAGGTGTGTGCCACCATACCTGTTTTGTGTTTGTTTTTTGTTTTAAGACACAGTCTCACTATGTAGGTCTTGTAGGTCTGACTGATTGGGAACTCCAAAGCTCAAGAAGTCCCCTGCCTCTGACTCTGGAGTGTTAGCAGCTCAGAAACACAGTATCTTATTTGTCTTTGAAGCAGCCCAGGCTGGCCTCAGCCTCCCAAGTGCTAGGATCACAGGTGTGAACCACCATTTGAAGCGCCCAGCTCTCGTGTTCCTAGAGTAGCACTGGGCATGCCCTTTCTACCTGGACACCTGTCACCCACCCATCTCTCCAGACAGCAGGTGGAGGCTGTGGAGATGGATGCTAGCCGTGTGACCCTGAGGTAACCACTGACTGGAGAGGTTGTATGGCCTCAGAGTCTGCAGCGGGGACTGTCTTCAAGGGAGTAAGGGCCCCTGTGTCCATCTTGTCCTCTTTGTGGGCAACAGATACCTTTGTATCAGCTACCTGATCCCCAACACAGTGGTCTACTTTTGCTACAATATGAGTTTGAGTTCAGCCTGGGCTACAGAGACCTTGTCTCTTAATTTTTTTTTTTTTTTTGAGAGAGAGAGAGAGAGAGAGAGAGAGAGAGAGAGAGAGAGAAGAAAACAAACAAAACAAACAACAACAACAGCAAAAAAGCTCAGATCATCTGAGAAGGGTCAGCTACTGCTCTGTCTCAAAGGCATGTGTCCCAGGCCCAGCCTTCGGCCTCGCTGGCCTGGGTCTCTGGGAGCCCAGGCTTGTATGCTGAATGTAGTGCCCTGGACTGGTGGGATCCTAGCCCTCTTCTCTTTCCTCTTTGTCTGTGCATTTGGAGATCAGAGGCTGATGTGGGATACCATGATTTACTGCTTTCTGTGTGTGTGTGTGTGTGTGTGTGTGTGTTTGCATATGTGTGTGTATTGTACATATGTGTTTATGTGCATATGTGTGTGCGTATATGCATGTGCAAGCACATGTGCATGTATGTATATGTGTGTGCATGTATGTGCATACACGTGTGTGTGCGTATGTGCGTGTATGTGTATGTGTGTGCATGTATGTGTATACACATGTGTGTGCGTATGTGCATTGTGTATGTGTGCGTACGTGTGTGTGCACTTCTGCAAAGTACACTGGGTGCCCTGCTCTATCACTTCCCACATTATTCTTTTCAGATAGGGACTTTCACTGAACCTGGACCTAGGCTCACGACCACCGAGCCCCAATGCCCCTCCTGTGCTCCCTATTCTCATCACTGGGATTATACATAAGCACCTAGATTTTATGTGGGTCCTGAGATTCAAGCTCAGATTCTCATTCTCATGAAGGCAGAGCTCTAACTCATGGAATCTTCTCCCTAGATCACACTTCATGGTTTTGAGATGTTGTCCTTCACTAACCCCAGGACTAGTTCCTTTGGCCAGACTGGCTGATGGGCAGTTAGGCATCTGCCTGTCTGCCTCCCAGTGCTCTCCTGTGGTGCTGAGAGTTGAAGTCAGGTACTCACACTTACAACAACTGAGCCACCCCCCTTGCCTCACTGCTCCTGAGACAATCCCACAATGAAGCCCAGACTAGGCTAGAGTTCCTAGATTCCAGCAAGCCTCCTGCCTCAGCCTCTGAGTGTTGGCATCATCAGTGTGCCGCCCTTGCCCAGCTCAGAAACTTTGTCTTGTTTTCTTTATTTGAAGTACGTTCTCACCATAGCCCAGACTAGTCTGGAACTGCTGGAAGTCAGGGAGACCCAGAATCTCTACCATGGAGGCCAGGGACTTCCCAAGTCCCCATGTTGACCCTTTAGTGGAGTTCTCAGTCTTCAGGGGTGACTTTTCCTCAAGCCCATTCAGCAAAAAAAACACAGCAGAGCATTTTTCCTGAGGGGATGTGGTGACCATACCTGTTCTACTGGCACCCTGGAGGCTGAGGCAGGGGGATTTTGAGTTCTACTTAGCAAAACCATGTCTCAGAACACTCTCCTTCCAGGTCCCATGATGAAAATGTGGGGAGCCCCCAGGCCCAGACAGTGTGTGACCCATGTATGGAGAGGTCCAGAACAGAAGACCCCACAGAGCCAGGAAGCAGAGGGAGTGGGGGAGGGGCGGCAGGCGCAGGTGCAGCTGAGGACTATGGGATGCTCTGAAACTAGACTAAGGTGATGCTTAAACACCATGGAAAACACACACAATGCCATTTAACCGAGCACTTTAAACTAGTGAATTTTATGCAGAAATTCACTAAATTCAGGAAAGAAAAGAGCTGGGTGTGGCACATGCCTTTAGGCACAGTGTTCTGGAGGCAGACAGGTGGATCTCTGTGAGTTCGAGGCCAGAAACATTGCAAGAACAGCCAGGGCTACATGTAGAGATCCTGTCTCAACAAAACAAACAAACAAACAAACAAACAAAAAAGAGGGTGGATGAGGTGGCTCAGCTGGCAAAAACATCTGCTGTCTACCCAAGTGCCTGAGTTCCATCTGCAGAACTGGACCGATGTGGTGGACAGAGGGGACCTGCCTCCACTTACACCCCACCCCACCCCACATATGTGCATACAAGCACACAGCAGTGGGCAAACAACCTCCATATCTATGTCCACTGCCCAGGGGGCATCCTAGTGATCCTTTCCATTTGAGTAAGTGATATACTCCGGACGGTCCTCTGTACGGTCCTCCATCTCCAGGAGGAGCTGAGGCTGGCCTGGATCCCAGCTTCCTCCTATTTCAGCTTCCTAGGTGGAGGGATGTGAAGGTGCATTGCATTTACTGAAGCCCAGCAGGGGCTGTCTTGGTGAAGTGGCCTGCTTTCCTTCTCCTTGTCATCACTGGGGTTCAGAGACTTGAAGTGGGCAGGGCAGAGGCTGTCACTGTTGGCTTTGTTCCACCCGTTCCCTCCTCCTGCGCTCTTTCAGAATAGTCACTCGGCTCAGCCAGGCACGATGGGAAGGAAAAAAATCCAGATCTCACGCATTCTAGACCAAAGGAACAGGCAGGTGAGTCCCAGACTGCATCACCATTGGGGGAGGTGGCATTCGGGACAGGGGCATAGCCAGGCTAAACAAATGGTCTTGCAGAGAAGTCTGAGTCCTGAGGCCCTTTTGGGGAGACTGAGACAGAAACCGTGGGTTTTGCTTCCGGGGCCCAATCTTCTCAGAAGAGAACTGGACACTTGGAGAGTTGCGAACACGCAAAGAAGTTTCCCAGGTTCTGATGGAAACTAAAGCAGAGAAGGTCGCTCTGCAGTTTCCTCCTTTAACGCCCCCACCCCGCCACACCCCATTTCGCCTCTGTGGTGCAGGTGACATTCACCAAACGCAAGTTCGGGCTGATGAAGAAGGCTTACGAGCTGAGCGTGCTCTGTGACTGCGACATCGCACTGATCATCTTCAACAGCGCGCAGCGCCTCTTCCAGTATGCGAGCAGCGACATGGACCGGGTGCTGCTCAAATACACCGAGTACAGCGAGCCGCATGAGAGCCGCACCAATGCAGATATCCTGCAGGTACCTGAAGCTACCTGAAAGGCCCCGGGAGCATCCCAGCCGTGCCACATGACCCCGGTAGCTCCTAAGCCTTTCCTCTAACGCCGTGGGGATTTGAATCTCGGGGGACTTACTGTGAATTTAGTTTCTGGGTCTCCTAGGAGTAAGCCACGTCTATCGTGTATCCCTCTAGACAGGCTGGCCAGAAAAGGTCTCCCCTCTCAGGTACCCTAGAACCAAGCCCGCTAAGATCAGAGGGCCCACCCTGCAATCTGCTGTTCCCACAGACCTTGAAGAGGAGGGGCGTGAGCCTGGATGGGCCTGAGCTGGAGACGGAGGAGGGACCAGAGGGGCCTGGAGAGAAGCTGCTGAGGACGCTGGGAGGTGACCGAGGCTCTGCTTCGCCCCTGCCTCGGATCTATGTAAGAGAACATTCCCTATTCCTTCTAATCTCTCCGACCTCCAAACACACTTCCAATACAGAGTTTGAGGCTGACACCCAGAGAGCTGATATCGTCTCTGCGGGATACGCATTATGACCCAGGCTTTGAAAGACAACAAAAAGAGTTGAAAGAGTTCAACAAATAAGTCTTCGGGCCACAATTCCCCTAATGATCAGACACCCCATGGTCGGTAGAGAGGCCTGGACTCCGAACCAGGCTGATGGAGCCCACCCGGCAACCCCAGTCTTAGATCTAGGTCTGAATCTCCAGAGAGACCCTCCGCCTCATTCTCCCACATCTCTGTCCGCAGCCGGTGGCCCCTGCGATGTCGGTCTCAGAGCTGTCCTACCGGGTCCCACTCGCCCCACCCAGCTGCGACCCCAGCGGGTTGGGAGAGGACCCATCTGTCCACAGCCTCCCGCCCCTCTTTCGACCCCCGGGTGAGCATTAGAAGCAGCCAGAATGGGGAGAGTGGATCCTGACTCTGGTCTCGCTGGTGACACTACCATCCCTCTCTCTCTGGGTCTTCTCCCCAGGCCTGGGACACCCCATCTTCTCTCCGAGCCACCTCTCCGGCAAGACGCCCCCACCCCTGTACCTAGCAACTGATGGGCGGAGGCCAGATCTGTCCGCGGGCCTGATGGGGAGTCGAGGGGGACTGGGCATCTCGGTGAGGAGGGGGGATGGGAGAAGACAGAGGAGGAAGAGAAGGGTAGAAAGAAGAGGGAGAGAGGAAGGGAGGAGGCAGGTGGCCGCACCCGGCCTCAGTTTTCTCTTCTTGCTTGCAGAGAAGCCTGTACAGTGGCCTGCAGAGCCCCGCCGCTGCCCCGGGCCCCGCTTTGGGTAGCTTTGCCTTCCTGCCAACAGGTTCCGCAGGTGCGCCCACCCTATCTGACCTGCCTGCCCGTTAGAGTCCCTCGACCCAGTCCTGAATCCGGGCGTGGGGAGGGCCGGGGTTCTGACAGGAGCCCCGCTCAGCCAGCCTCTCCCGGCAGATTTCAGCCCCGGAGACACCGCTTCGCTCGCCCTGCAGTCCTCGTCCTGGCTCCCGACGAGGGACACGGTGGACCCGGCCCGGCCGGGGTGAGTTGGGTGCCCCTTGGCGGTCGGGAGACTTGCCTGGATTGGGTTGTGGGTGGGCTACGAGATTTAGAGGGGACCCACAGAGCTCCATGACGGGTAAGCTTTCTTATCTACCTTGTGGATCTCTCACCTTCCTGCCTCCCTTGTCTCCTCTCTCCAGCAGCGCCCGCAGCCTGTGTGAGGAGGGTCCCCCAAGCCGAGTGGCCTCCCCTCAAACGCCCCCGATCAGCATTAAGTCCGAGCGTCTGTCCCCCGCCACTGGGGCCTCTAGCGACTTCCCCAGGCCCTACCCCTACCCCCTGCTCCTCACCAGACCTCTAGCGGAGCCACTTCGGCCGGCAGCCTCCCTGAGTCGCTTGACCCCTGACTGCTGGCCGCGGTAGCGCACAGAAGGCTCCTCCCAGCCTCCACAGGCATCCCGTAGTCTCCAGTTCCCTGAACAGCAAGGAGGGCGGGGGCACGCGATGCCTCTCACTCGTGAGGCCCTGTTCTTTCCTGGAGTCGCTGAGTCAATAAAGCCCACGGCTCTGGGAGGGCGCTGGGAAGCTCCCGTCCCCCAGCCTCCCGAGCCTGAGGTATCCACACCCAGTCTTTCCAAAGGCCTCCTTTATGCCCTCAATGGTTTGGGGGTGCACGTCGTAGAAACGGATTCCAAGAGGAAAAAGGCCAGGTGGTGGGTGGGGATGTGACCAGAGAAGGAGCCACAGGGGACACCACTAAGGGCAAGCCAGAAGGCCTGAGCTGCTGATCTTGGAGGTGTGAGTCTGAAATGAGCTCACAGTCGTGTCGCCAGGGTTGCTGAGAGCCGGCTGACTGTGGTCACCAGGAGTTCTAGGCGAGCCTGGGACAAGAAAGACACTGCTTTTAAGAAGTAAACAGGAGGGGGCTGGAGAAATGGCTCAGCGGTTAAGAGCACCGACTGCTCTTCCAGAGGAACCGCAACCGCAACATGCAGGCATCAACATCCATAAACAAGGACTCACAACGAATAAACGTATAAATGGGGAGAGCCTGCTGTGCAAGCATTAGAATCTGAGTTCGAATCTCCAGCACCCATATAAAAAAGCTGGATGTGGTCTGGGTGCCAGCAAGGTGGAGATAGAGCTGTGGGGCTTAGAGGCAGAAGATGGAGAGAGACAGAGTCAGGCTCGTGAGTTCCCCACCCCTTCTCTGGCCTTCTTGGCTGTGTTGGCACCATCCCACAAGAAGACAGATATAAAATATGCAAAAGTGGGGAAAGCAGTGGTAGTTGTGAAGGCGGGGCTCTGGCACTGCACCCTTCCTCCTTCATGTGTGTCAAGGCTGGGCCATCTGGCCCAGAGGGCACGATGATGGTTATGGGTCCTGCAACTAGAGTCCAGCCCCCAGCGCCCTGGCAAACACAAGCCCGGTTTGTAGTTCGGCCTGCACACGCCATTAATCCCAGCTCTAGCAGAGATTCACTGACTGCTTGTTAATCTAGCCTAGAGAACTCAGCCCCAGGTTCAAGCAGAGTCCCTGCCTCCAGGGGAACTGATCCCACAAATTGTCCTCCACGTGCATCACCGCCACATCTCCTTTCCCCAGTACATAAGTCAGTGCTCTCAACACGTAGCGACTCCTTTGGGGGACAAAAGATCCTTTCAACAGAGATCATCAATCAGAAAACACGGATATTTACATTATGATTCATACAGTAGAAAAACTGGAGTTATGAAGTAGCAATGAAAGTCACCATAACATGAGAAACTGTATTAAGGGTGCGACATGAGGAAGGTCAAGTCAATGTGGAAACAAGCTTTTAGAAATGCGCTCCTAGGCTCAGCTCTCCCCTACCACCCAAGCCCCATGGTCCACTAGTGACATCATGTCCTGGTGCAGGGGAGGAGGAGGAAGGCTTGCTCTAGCCTTGGGTAGGGTCTTCTGCACCCTCTGTGACCGTCTACTCTGCCCTTCCTGGCTCAGGTCCAGACACAGACAGAACTGATGAGCACTGGCTGCACATGAGCAGGGCTAGGAAGCCCAGAGAGACCCGGGGAAGCCACTGGGTTCTAGAAAGGTTCTCAGGGCTTCCACAGTCTAGACCTTGAATTGGGAGGTAATAGGGAGGTTTTAAGAAGTAAACAGGCCTGAGAGGCTGGGAGTGGTGCCCTAAGCCTCTCAGAACTGAGTGACTTAGGGCAGTTAGCCAGCCCCCTGCCTCCGGCCCCAGTGAGACCATACAGTCAGCAATGTGAGCATCTTGTCCATGGTCATGTACCCCTAGTCGTGTCTAGGATTTCACACTCAAGAAGCCTTCTCTCCAAGCCACCAGAGAAATGCCATAGGGTCCCAAGGTCTGCACTGAGTTCTGTATCAAGTTATGTGTGAAGCTGAGGTTGTTGTGCATGATGGGTTTTGTTTGTGAAACAGAGTCTCCTTTTAGAACCAGGGACCCCCCCCCCAGCTCTCACTGGTCTCAAATTCACAACCCTCTGGCTTTAGCCACCCAAGTGCTGAGTTACAGGTATGCAATACCACACCGCCTTGTGAGTCTAGCTTATTCTAGCATTTCCTATTACATGAATCAAGATTTTCCCTTTGTTGTTTGAGCCTTTAGGAATTTTTAAGATTTATTTTATTTTAAGAATTTTTTTTTGGCCAGGCAGTGGTGGCAACACACCTTTAAACCCAGCACTCAGGAGGCAGAGGCAGATGAATCTCTGTGAGTTTGAGGTCAGCCTGGTCTGCAAGAGCTAGTTCCAGGACAGGCACCAAAAACTACAGAGAAACCTGTCTTGAAAATAAAAACAAATTATTTTGTGAGCCAGAGCTTCACAATGTTTCCCTTACTGGCCTGAATATCATTATGAAGACCATGCTAGCTCCAAACTGATGGAGTCGGGTCATTGGTCTATGTGTTACTCTTATTGGTTAATTGATAAAGAAAACTGCTTGGCCTGATAGGTCAGAACATAGGTAGGCAGGGAAGACAGAACAGAATGCTGGGAGGAAGAAGGCAGTGAGGCAGATGCTATAGCTCTACTCTCCAAGATGAACGCAGGTTAAGATCCTTCCTGGTAAGCCATGACCTCGTGGTGCTACACAGATTATTAGAAATGGGTTAATCAAGATGTGAGAGTTAGCCAATAAGATGCTGAAACTAATGGGCCAAGTAGTGTTTAAAAGAAAACAATGTATGTGTTGTTATTTCAGGTGTAAAGCTAGCCTTGTGTGAGCCAGGCGGGAATGCAGCCCGCCACTCTTTTCTACACAAAACTTACAAAATAATCCTGGTCTGTCTTGCTAGTGCAGGAATTAGGGATGTGAGTCACAAACCCAGGCAGCACCTCCTGTAAACAATTATTAACTAGTATTGTATCTGTGTGCAAGGGCATAATGTATATGTGGGTGGTGTAGAGGTCAGAAGTCACCTTTGTAGCATGAATAATAAAAACCCAGAAACAGATTTTGGGGTTCAAGCTGAAGATCAGAAAAGTAGAACAAGCAAGCCACTAAAAAAAGTCTTACATCTCCCAAGACTGAGTGATGGCAGTTTAAGCCCACAGCTTTTTTTTTTAGCTCAATTGATTTATTGCTTTATTTATATTTCTAAAACATTTCTTTGTGTATATACATTGTACACAGTACTGTGCTACATGTCATTTTCGTACAAGTGTATATTGTATCTTTAGAGAAACCACTTAATTTCCCATTTTATTTAGTTTTATCAAAGACTTTATATAAATATATTAAATAGAAAGCCTTATAAGTGACCACTTATCTTTTGACTGCAATGTTTCATTATCATATGTCCAAGCCCACAGCTTTTGTCTCCTCTGGTTTTATATTCCCTCTAGTGCTGGGATTAAAGGCATGTGACTTCCTAGTATTGGGAATAAAGGTGTGAGCCATCACTACCTAGGTCTGTTTCTGTATTGATCTTGTATAGCCCAGAATGGCCTTGAACTCACAGGGATCCATCTACATCTGTCTCCCAAATCCTGGAATTAAAGATGTGTGTCTGGCCTCTGGTGGCTTAGTTTTTCTGATCTTCAGGAAAGTTTTATTTATTACAAAAAATTATTCTATTTCCCCATTTTTTCTAAAAACTTAAAAGGGCTATAACTAATATAAGAAAAACTATATACAATAAGTAAATAATTATATACAATATATACAGGCAATAAGTACATCAACAATATACTTACATTTGACAAATTCAGAGAAAATACTCAGTATCTATCCTATCTTGGTGAGTCCAAAGTCTTGTACCTAATTTACTTTCTATCATAATTTGCATTACCATCCAAAACTATCTTTTGTTATCTCTCAAACTTATATGCTTTGCATTTCTTTAGTGAATTTCTTTTAAGAGTCTTGTAAACAAGGAAAACTATAACCATATAGTCTTCAGTTCCCTCAGAGGCCCAAAAAGGAAACAATACAGCTGAATAAGCAGGAAGTGCAAACAATGAATTCTGAAAAATGTGAGAAATGACAGAAACAGGTGGCTGCCTGGACAGTCACCGGAGCTCCTCTGCAGAACTGGGGCGTCCATCTTCAAGCTACAGGCCTAGACTACCTGACAGACTATGAAGCAGAGTTTTCGAAGGACTGTCCCGCCTTTTCTGGGCAAGGTTTGACAGTCATTCCCTTTTATGTCCTGCTTGTCCCATTAGGACGGCATACTGTCAGCAGTTGAGGCAAGGGCACTTTCTTGCCCAGTGCCTTAATTTTGTCACAAAGAAAGCAAAGTCCAAGTCTCTGAAGTAGACTGGTGATGAATGGACCTGGTGTAGGAGGTCCTTCTGAGTATGTTCTGCTTTCATTGGTTGAATAAAGAATCTGCCTTGGCCTTTTGATAGGGCAGAACTTAGATAGGTGGAGTAGACCAAATTGAATGCTGGGAAGATGGCAGTGTGGCAGACGCCATGGTTCTTCCCAAGACGGACGCTGGTTAGACTCATGCCAGTAAGCCACAGTCAAGTGGCGATACACACTAATGGAGATGGGTTAAACTAATATGTGAGAGTTAGCCAATAAGAGGCTAGAAATAATAGGCCAGAAAGTGATTTAATTAATACAATTTCTGTGTGATTATTTTGGGTGTAACTTAGCTGGGTGGGAAGAGCAAAAGGACCCGCTCCTCCTGTTACAACGGACCAAGTGATGAATGGACACTTAAAAGAAACCCCACACTAACTCAGAAATGAGAAACAGATAGTTATTTATTTAGGGACAAACTCACAAATCAGAATTCTCTGAATGGTAGACATAGATTGAATCCAGCAATTCAACAATCAGAATGAGCAGCCAGCAAAAAGGAGTGAAAAAGGGCACAGCCTCTGCATCTGTGTATATAGTGTAAGAGGCCATGCCCCAGTAGGTGGGTAATCACTGGCTGCAAGCCTTCCTACAGCACCTCCTCCTTTTGTTTAAATAAGAGAGTTCTAAGCCTAATACACAATTATATACAATAAGAACAAATATCCTACCCTAACTAGCTTAAGTCTTGTATAATAAATAACTTGGCCAAGTCATGAGAGGAAAGTAACTACTATTATCTAGTCTTCAACCCCATCGAAGATCTGAGAAGGGAAATAATATTACTTGAGTAAGCAGG